GGTTCAGAAACGTAGAGTGTTTATAAAATATACTAACACTAATCTTATAATAGCTGATCCGATCTTGAAGAAGAAATTACCGTCCAAGACGTTTACCAGTCATTTGTGTAGTACACACATTATGCCAACTAAAAAATGTTGATCATTAATTAATGTAATTATTAACTATTGAAATTACGAATTCAATGACGCATATGTTTCTCAAAGCATCCTATTTTCAAATTTATCCTTACATGCATCATGCATGTATGAATCATTATATTGAAATACAAGATTTGTCTAAGACATTATTGTATTATTATTGGACATAATGTATACATCCATTGAAGTATATTTTTTCGGAAAGATGGTTTAATATATTGGTACATGGAACAAACTTTGTCTATTTGATAGCATGGAACTGCTATGGCTCTTGTTTGTTTTATTTCTAATTGTGATTTACGATGAGGCCAAGTATGAAACCTTTTGCCTTATTATGTGCACGCATTATGATTGTTTTTCATTAAATTATGAAGGTATTTTTTATTTTATGTTTTGGAGATATTTCAATTGGTTCATCATTTGGCGACTAGTTCAATTCGGAGCGGATCCCGGGATTAAAGTTTTAAACCCCTTCCAAAAATCAAGTGGGTGAATATAAGACCAACATGTGTCCTTTGTATAAAGTTAGTTTTCATTTTAATTTAATGAGTAAAGGTCATAAACATAATTTGGGTAGAGGATAGAGAAAATTTGCAAAGATATAACAGGTGCATGCAGTTACCATAATTTGGCTAAGGGGCAATTATTTGACAATTCATATCTATACAACAGATTCCCTTGTTACGAAAGTTTTGTTTGCTATGAGATGGAAAACACATAAATAAGCTCTAACCATACTGAACGCAATCCTTAGATGTGGTAGGTGAGGAAAATCCCTATGTGGATCCCGAAACTCTTCTTAAGACATCTTCGAAGAAAATTAATATGTTAATTAATGAGTCTAAAAAAAGTCATAGAGTCATACTATGAGGATACCAAAAGACACATCAAGTCAGCAACTTTAGTATCTGAAAAGTTTGAAATGGGACCAGGATATGTTGTGGAGACAGTAATGACAGATATTGATTTTCCCCAAGGTCATGTTGGTATCAAAAGTTCTGATGTTGAACGAATTGATGGAGAAGGGAATCATGTACCTTTGTATGAAACTTACCTCCATCATTGGTTTGCTTTAAGATACTTTAAAAACCCAAAATCAACTAAGAGTGTTTTTGAAAGATCCATTTTCATTAGAAACCAAGGCACATGCCAAGGTAGTAATCTTCCACATTATTGGGGCTTGGGAAGTGAATCACAAGGAACAACCTTAAACATTCCATATCCTTTTGCTAGTAGGTAACCCAGCAGGAATTCTTAATGGGTTTGAAGAGAAATGGTTCTTCAATATCATGGCCTTTGAAACACGTGGCGTAACAGATAGAAAAGGTTGTTCCGAATGCAGATGTGACCTAATGAATATCACAAAGGATTTCTTTAGTACCACAAAGGGTGTTGATGGAAAACCATTAAACCCAGAATATAAGGGAGGTATCTTTTGTTGCCATAACAAGTTACAATGCAAATTGAGAGAGGGATTTCAGGCCACAACTCTTTCACTAAGATACAAAATAAGGTGGGTTGATTGGGACAAATTCCAAGTTCCCTTCATATGATTTTATAGTTTTTTGTTAGAACTCTAACAAGAACAACAACAAAAGAAAAGGTAAAAAAAAAAAATCTGACATATATTTATGATTTTTGTTGGGATAAACACTCAATAGTCTTCAAGTTGTTGTTCCTCTACTATAAATAACTATCAAGAGTTGCTTAACGGCTTGCAGAGTCGCAAACCCCCTGCCTGTGAAATCAATTTTATGTTGAATTGGCATCAAGTTACGCTAGATATGATATTTCCAATTTCTACTATAAATAAATACATATCTACCCACAAATATTTTATCTCCAACCATTATTTTAAAATTTCAGAAATTGCTTGGACTTTCGGCAAAGGCCAAATGTCTAACATGGTCATTCCCTTGTCTTCTATGCAATTCTTGTCATCCAATTTTTTAGCATATTTGTGTTTGAATCTTGTATTGTTAATTATAAGGTTACATGAAAAAATAATATTTGAATATAAAATTTATTCCTAAATAAAATATGTGATAATTGGATACAAAAAAAAAAAATATGTCATAATTATTAATGGTTTACGTATGTACAAGTGAACATGAGGTTTATGTTTAAAGCGTTGATGTTTTCCTCTTCAATACTAGTGTTTCTATCGAGCACAGGATACTCCTATGTGGATCCCGAAACTCTACGCAAGACATCATTGAAGAAAACTAATATGTTAATTAATGAGTCTAAAAAAAGTCATAGAGTCGTACTATGAGATCCCAAAAGGCACATCGAGTCAGCAACTTTTGTGTCTGAAAAGTTTGAAATGGGACCAGGATAAGTTGTGGAGACAGTAGTGACAGATATTGATTTTCTACGAGGTCATGTTGGGATCAACAGTTCCGATGCTGAACTAATTGATGAAGAAGGGAATGGTGTACCTTTGTATGAAACTTATCTCCATCCTTGGTTTGCTTTAGATACTTTGAAAATCCAAAAACAACTAAGAGTGTTATTGAAAGATCCATTTTCATTAGAAACGAAGGCACATGCCAAGGTAGTAATCTTCCACATTATTGGGGCTTGGGAAATGAATCACAAGGAACAACCTCAAACATTCCAGATCTTTTTTCTAGTAGGTAACCCAGCAGGAATTCTTAATGGGTTTGAAGAGAAATGGTTCTTCAATATCATGGCCATTGATACACGTGGCGTACAAGATAGAAAAAGTTGTTCAGTATGCAGATGTTACCTTATGAATATCACAAAGAATATCTTTAGTACCTCAAAGGTTGTTGATGGCAAACCATTAAACCAGGATTATTTGGGAGGAATCTTTTGTTTCCATAACAAGTTACAATGCAAATTGAGAGATGGATTGGAAGCCCCAACTAGAAGGCTTTCCCTAAGATACAAAATAAGGTGGATAGATTAGGACAAAGTCCAGGTCCCTGTTAAGGTTTATATACTTGATTCCACCGATAAGGTCATGTCGGATGGCTCCAAAACAATCCACGAGTGCAAGGTAAATAACTTACGAAGATACACTTAATTTTTAACTACACTTTTCAATGTCAATTGAATTCCAAAATTAATTAATTTGGTGGGATTATATGAGTATCAAATAGTTTTCAATTTGTTACAAGTTGAATATACTATTCCAAAAAATGGTGATAGCAACTCCCCTCATGTCCAAAAAGCAAACATCTCAATGGAAAAAGATGGTTATCTCATCTACGGCACTGCTCATATACACACTAGTGTTGTTAAGGCAACTTTTTATGGACAAGTGAATTTCAAAATTCGCCATCATTCTCATGATAGATTGTTTTTTAAATTTTGTGTGCTTGATTTGTATTAAAGTCATAAATTGCTTAATAATCCATGCAATTGTCGGAAGACATATATTATATTGTGTCTTCACTTCTATTTTTTTTTTTTTGATTAATTTAGGATGCAAGGACTTTTTGCACTTCAACACCAAAATATATGGAACAGGAAAGGAAGCATAAAATGAGGAAAGTTACGCTGTCAGAATGTGTTTGTTATCCGCAACTAGGTACTGTCCAAATTAATGATGGTGAAACTTTGACCCTAGAGTCAATAAAGAGACAAAAGCGACTTTACCATCGTAGCTAGGGGGAATTCTACATCTATTTGGCAGAACAACTACCACAAGATGCATAGACATTATAATTCCTTTTATCTACATCCTAAATAATGTAGAGCTTCTTTTTTGCATATACAATCAAGTGATCGATCATTTTATTCCAACCAGGAATATTGTACTGTAAAATAAACATTCTTTTTCTGTAGTTAGGGCGAGATGGAACCAATGGATTCCTGAATGCTGCTGAATCTTTCTTGTAATTTATATTCACAACTTGAGTTATGCAATTAATCTGTTTCCTCATGACTAGCTTTGTTTATGAACTGATCACTCATAGATAAACACATTAATCTTGGATGACAATAGGGATGTTGGTGTCTTGATTCCGATTGATTAATTGCTAGAGTTTGTATGATCTAGGCATAGGCTTACAAATTCTATAACTTTATGGTTCTTGTGTTAACGCTTACACTAGGAAAAAGGCACTAAGGGATTAGGCTTTTGAATAAAGTAAAGGATTAAATTACTAAGGGATTGTGATTTAATCAATTTTAGAAAGAATCATTAATAACTTAATCTTGGATGTTGATTGCAAGAAAGGGTAGACTTGTTAGGAAAACGCTGGGGAAATCAAATCCCTCGCTACGCTTGCCTTTAATTGAGTTTAAACCGTTCTTGTTTGCGTTCTTGCATTTTTTTTTATCATTCTTGATTTTTAATCTTGAAAATCAAAAATAGTTTTTAAATTCTGTTTTATTAATTCAAATTACATTCTCAAGGACTTCCAAGATCGATCCAACTTTAATTATATAAATAAATTATTGCTTGATAAATCAATCCTCGTGGGATCGACAACCTTTCTTTTACCACTCTATTACTTGTACGACCAGTGCACTTGCCGAAGTCGCAACATGTACCATGATTTATTTACAATGGGGGAGTTCTGCATTGTTATGATTATATTTTTAGTCGGGGAGCCTAGTATTGATGATCACATTACATTTACAGGCATGGAGCCTAATCGAGCAGAGAATTCTTAATTGATATGTTGCATTTTTGTTTGAGTATACCCTGGTTCAAGATATGTACAATATTTTATTAAAATAAAAATTTATGAATTTTATTAATTGATTTGGATTGAAAGTTTACTTTTCAACCTTGATAATGTTAAATGGTTAACTACATTTAACATTTAATATCATATGCGGTAAAGAAACACATCAATCAAGCAAGATATGGATAATAGGAATTATGATGTCTTTGTCGATAGCGGTAATCGCTCTGCCAAATAGATGTTGAATTGTCCCATAACTCCTGTTCGAAAGCCACTTTTGTATCTGGATTCAAATGTCAAAGTTTCACCATCCTTAATCTTGATAGAACCTGGTTTTGGATAACAAACGGACATTCCAACCGCGTAACCTTTCTCATCTCCTGCTTTCTTACCCTTTCCATATTTTGGTTTTGAGATACATAAAGTCCTTCCATCCTAAATTAAACAAAAGCACAATTGAATAAGTAAAGATGCATTGTAATATATATATTTTTGACTTCTTAATTACAATAGTATGAGTCAAGCTAAAATATAACTTAAAGAAACAAATCAAGCACACAGAGCTTAATAAAGCATAATCTACAACAAATGATAAAGACTATTTGAAAATGATACAAAATAATGAACATTAATTACCTGTCCGTATAGAGTTGCATTAATAGCACCTGAATGCATATGACCACTGGCATAGATGAGATAACCACCCTTTTGCATTGGGATGTTTGCTTTCTGGACATGAGGAGAGTCATTACCTCCATTCGCGGGAACAGTATATTCTACCTGTAACAAGTTAATCGATATTTGTTGCTGAGTGCTTGCTTTGAAGAATTTTGATTTTGAATTTAATTAAGATTGAAAAGTCTACTTCATGAATAATTTATTAATTTACCTGGCACTCATGGACTACTTTGGATCCGTTTGATCTCACCTGATCGGTTGAATCAAGTACATAAATCTTCACAGGAATTTGGTGTTGGTCCCAATCAACCCACCTTATTTTGTATCTTAGGGAAAGGTTTCTCCTTGGGCCTTGAAAACCCTCTCTCAATTTGCATTGAAATTTGTCTTGGCAACAAAACATTCCTCCCTTATAATCCTTGGTCAATGGTTCGCCATAAGTGCCCCTTGTGACATTATAAAAGTCCTTTGGGAGATTAAACAAGTCACATCTACATTCAGAACAACCTTCCCTATCGAGTGCACCACGTGTATCAATTGCCATTATGTTTAATAGC